CATTTATTAATGATTTTTGCACTTACCTATTTCATTACAATTTAATGATTCACCTCAGCACTTTTACTTTTCTAAAACAGCTTTCAATCCCTTGTAAACGTTGTACTTACCTCAATATTGGTTGGTTATCGTATGCCGACAACCACGGGATGAAAACGAAACGAAGTCGATTTTCCCGCTCAACCTGGAGGACAATTGTACAATTCAATAACTATACAGCCTAGTTCAGACAATGTGTATTTATTTATATATCAAATATTTAACTGTTGAAACATTATTAACTTGTAGACAATCTACGATTTGATATTATATCATACTTGATCGTGCCTGTAAAAATGGCATGCATTTTCATGTAAATTTATATGTTTATATGAGAATATACATAATTATTATTAACACTGTTTGAAAACAACCCACTGTTTTTATTATTCACATTCTGTACTTAGAATATTTTGAATCTATATCGTATTTGTGGACGAATTCTTCTGGCTAATTTAATTTTGTTCATATTTTGGATAAATCACGTGCAATACTGTGACAAATGCTGACAATTCCATTCTGTATTATTAGCACTGTTTTTAGAACAAAGTGGATTATTATTATTCATAGTTGCTATGCCAATTCTTAGCACAAAGTTAGGACAGATATTGGTCTAAATATTTTTTTATTTTTTTTGATTACAGCTTGATTCCACACTATATTTTTGTACAAGTATGGAATTTTCAGTATGGATATCGGTAGCCCAAATTTCGCAGGCCGACCATAGATATCAGGTGTGCGTCGGCATGAGATCGAACCCCGGACCATGTGCATGGTCGGCGAGAGTCCTAACCACTGTGCCACCGACGCACGAAATACTGAAAAGCTTGCAAAATTTCTGTGAGGTTAGCTTTTATTGGAATAGATTATAAGATAATGGATTTGATCAAAGTGTTAAGCACTAACATTTACATCGTTATTTATTTTGATTTCTAATTTTCAAAATTTTGTGTAATTAAGAGGGAGGCGGCGCTCAGGATGACTAGTGCTAGAACGACATATATAGGCTGAGGAATTTACGATCACCAGTGATTCATGGGTTACGAAGAACGCATCAGGTCTGCTGTACTGGATCTTGAGTTTGAAAGTTCTGACAAGTTCAAAGTTGCCGATATACAAGACGTTAATGAGGTGCTGGCGATTATACAGGACCGGCTATTAACTGTAGAACAGATGTCGTGGCGATGGTCATCCTAGTCGCCATTAGATGTGCAAATGATGTTCTCAGTGTCTGCTAAGTGACGTTCGCGTGATCCGAAAACTTCATCCGAGTAAAAACTAGTGTAGAGGAAAGTACCGCTATCTCAACTCTACAGCACAGAACATTACTTAAGGAAAGAGATGCAGAAAAAGGAAACCACAAGGGAAGTGTTGATGGGGTTTGATAAGTAAATATGTGACCGGATAGTTCGAATTGTATAGCGCGAATACATCATATTTCCAAGATAACCTCCGTCTTCTAATAATACCATCCAAACTTGAAATAGAGAATGATGGTTTTAAATTTCCGATCATTTAAGGTAATGGTCTTCATTCTAAATTTAAGAGGATAACTTCTTTGACATTCAGATTTAAGGTTTCCATAAAGAAAATGAATCCTCGATAACTAAAAGGTGATATCAAAATAAAAACCACACGAAGATTGAAGAGTGAAGATATACCCGCGCCATACAGATAGACTCGCTACTGGTATTCACTTATTATTGTTTCGTAACACTCTGGAAAAGGATTTATGAATTCTAAAATCAGTAATTGTGGCCACACTTAGACTCAGTTAAAAATATATGACAAGTATAATCGAGGAACTTTTCGCTATCAGCAGGTAATACGCTCTGGTAATATAATTTTTACTATTTGTACTTTTTATATTCATAACAACACTGAAGCCCAGTATTTTTAATCCCATTGAATTATGCTGAAACCAAATGAAACCTCATTTTAGCAATATATACATAGTTTTTGTATCCGTGATCGTTGGAAGGTCGCTTAATTAAGCTTAATTAAGAATAACAGCGAAAGAATTCTTTCGTTTTTTTTAATACAACAAATTCCGAAAGATTAGAACACGACGTATAGTATTCTATGGAAACAGTGAAGAATGCCTTGTGGTCAGGCGAGTAAAGTCTAGTAGGTTTCTGCACTATCATCTAAACTGCTTAGTGCGAGAAAAATAATCCCAGCTATTTTTATGTCACAGTAAGGAGAGAAGGATTCATAAACGTAAATTAATAGTTTTTTACAGGATTGGTGGATGACTGAAAAAACGAAAACATCCAATTTATTTATATCGGTTGGCCATTTGTCTGATAAGGTGGGCTGTTTACAGCCCAATCTATAGATTGGAAGTGTAAGCGAAAAAACACCAGTTACTCAGACTATACGGTCTTAGCGTTATACGTGAAATTTCCAGGTGCATTTTGGCTGGTTTTTAACTACAGTACGGTTGCCCATCACCCAACCCTAACATAAAAGTGGGATTTGGCAATCGATACTCCACCTGTGACAAATCTGTGAGAACTTTTCAGTCTAAAACAAGGAAACGCAACAATACTTACTGGGTTAACTTCGTAGGTGTATAACAATGGGGTGTTCACTTACTATCCTTCTTAAGTTCTTGAACTTAAAAGATTTTTTGCAAGTATTGTCTCATTTTTCAGTGGTGTTTACCTTTTGTAAAGTTATAGCGTTTCTGTTCTGTTCGTTCCTGTCTGGTAACTCAAATGAGTATAATCCCGCTTTTATCCATCCCCTTTTCGCGAATAGCGACTTAAACTGACTCATTTCAATGATGGCTTCTGGATTTGTCTGTTGCCTCACTTCACCTTAAAATTGAAATGAAAAGGTGCACGTAATATTAAAAGTCGAGATAAAAATATGCATCAGTTCAAGTTACCATTCACCGAAAGGAAATTGAATAAGGTTAGAGTAATCAAATGTTTCTGTAAGGGATAATCAAACAGAGATTAGTATAAATTCTTAGGGTCTTAAAGATGAGCAAATGCATAAATTCTGCATGATGAATAGAGGTAAACCATGTCTCCAAGAATCCTTAACTGTTGATTTTCAAAATTTAAAATCACAGGTTGCTAGAAATAATCTTACTCAAATGGTGGAGCATATAGTCAAACTCGGTGCTATAGTCATTATGTGAGTAGTCTGTTGGTGCACATCCATCACTGGGCATTATCACTTAGGGCCTGCAACCATCGTTTCCAAGTATTCCGGAGGTTCAAGTAAAAGGTTGACATTCTTATACATAGTTTAGTTCACAGGTCGCAAACTTCACATATTGCTGTCAGCTTTTGATTTGACTTTTTGTGTTACTTTCGCTCTTCAATGTAAGCAATGACAACAGATAAATAAATCAGTTATGCTAGCCAATTATGATCCACAAATTCACCCACTGACTACCACTACACACTGGATATGCTACGAAACCTATCGTGGTCATATTCATGAAGTGTTCTGAAGTCCTTATTTTCACTGACCATTTCTAAGGCAAAAAGCACTATATTTCGCCCTTAATTAGCTTCTAGACTTTGAACGTAGTTTGCCTGAATCGTTTAATGTATTTGCGCGACACATTTCGAACACACAGACTTGTCATAGGAATATACATACGAATTTAATAAAGAGTTAAGAGGTGAGAAAATAAATTTATGTCAAGTTAAAAGGACATAGCTGAAGGTCGAAATAACAACGAAGATCACTAAACCAAATAAAAGGGGTAATATTACATCTGCTATGGCATCAAAACAAAGTTTGGCAAGGAAGGTGGTTTAGTGTGATGACGAATTGTTTTTGAACGCATAAAGGTTATTTAAACTTCATAATTGCTAGGGCTTCCACAAACTTTAGGATACGCCCCAAACATTTTCTATAGATACGTTTAAAAGACGTGCAAACATCAATTTTATGTCCTGTTTCTCTAATATGTTTCTCAATGGAGTAGCTAGGTCGCCTCCTCCGTATCTATGTGTATCCCATACGTACATTCAAATTGGTAATTAAGTGGAATGTAACAATTTTTCTCATGTTTCAGAGGGCTTAGATGAATATATTGGCTTCACATTCTCAATTATTATGATCTTAGCTGCTTAAAAAGTTTTTTTAACCGCGGCATTCAATCTTTTTATAGTTATTAAGCTGCTATGATGCCTCATATATGGTAGCGTGATGCACGCGTCTTTCTTAGGGGCGAGTTGGAGAGTGGTTCTTGGTGTTCTGACTACTTTATATCTCCTGACGAACTTGTCTGGATGATTATTATCAGGCAGAGTATATGTCAGCTTTCTTTCTTCCTCATCAAGTGTGTCTTCAGTGCATATTCGTTTGAATCTACTGAAGAGACACCTTATTAAGGCTCTTTTATACCTGTGATAATTTAGGTACTGTTCTGTCCAGGTAGCTTTTCTATAAGTAGATCGTTTCACTGATCCATCAAGCCATCGACTAAGCAATGTTTCTAGGAAAGATAAACAATTACCTTAAGTGATATGCTCATTTGAACTTCATTCATTCGATTTCAAATCGAGGTGGCAGAACGCTTATCACTTATGAAGTGTCGCTAGATTGGCTGCCACTGTGCCATGCAATAACTGAATATCTTCTGAAGAGTGGTCACGGCTGAGTATACTTTCATCATCAAGAATGGTCAACATTTTGGATTTATGATCACTTTTGTTCATGATGACGATTCGAGAACCTTGATTTTTGTACTTTGCCGTGTTTACATTAATTTCAGTGTATGTTATTCTTTAGGTTTAAAGTTCACAGTAACTTTCACCGATATAAGGTTCTACGGTTTACGCCCCAATAAATTCTGAAGTTTGGTGTATTTACTATAAAAAGCCTCTAGTATTAAGATAGTAATTCTTATGGAGGTTGGTAAAGTACTTACTTTGGTTATTCCGTATATAATTTCGCTTTTTTCACTCTTAGATTTTAGGAGAATTACATGAATGCCGAACTCAGATGCTGAGAATGTGCTGCGTATACTTGTATCTACGGATAATCATGTAGGGTATGCTGAGAAAGATGGTTTAAGGGGTCAGGACTCTATCCGAACTTTTGAAGAAATTCTTCGGCTTGCTGTCTCCAATAATGTGGATCTAATCTTATTCGCTGGAGATATTTTTCATGAAAGTCGACCTTCCATGAAGTCTTTACATGAAGTGATGCGTCTACTTCGCATTTATTGCTTAGGAGACAAACCCGTTCAATTCGAACTTCTTAGTGAAGGCAAAACTGTTTTTGCAAATACAGCGTTCCCAAATGCAAATTATTTAGATACCAATTTCAATGTAGAAATCCCTGTGTTCACAATTCATGGAAATCACGATGATCCTTCAGGTCCTGGGGGATTATGTGCAGCTGACCTACTTCATACTGCTGGTTTGATAAATCTGTTCGGAAAAATGGCATCAGTTGAAAGGATTGATTTGACTCCTGTTTTGTTACGCAAGGGTGACACACGTGTAGCTTTATATGGTCTTGGATCTGTTCGGGAAGAGAGACTTCACAGATTATTTCTGAATAATAGTGTAACCTTTTATCGTCCTACCGAAAGTGTGGATGATTGGTTCTCCATATGTACAGTTCATCAAAATCGTGTTCACCATGGACCTACATGTTATCTACCTGAACATTTTCTCCCTGATTTCCTTGATCTTGTTATATGGGGACATGAACATGAATGTCGTGTTGAACCTGAATGGAATTCCGCCAGAAACTTCTACGTTGTTCAACCTGGTAGTTCTGTAGCTACTTCTCTCTCCGAAGGTGAAGCTCAGGACAAAGCAGTTGCATTACTGGAAGTGAGAGGAAAAGAGTTTAAGGTTAGTTTCGTTAACATATATTCGTTTCCACCAAACCCTAGGCTCTTTGTCGAAAAAGATGCAACCACATTTCGGCGGTAGAAACGATTCCCCTATTCTATGTACTAAAAACTGACAATATCTCGTTATTCACAAAGTATAAACATAATACATTAGATTACACTTTAAAATATATTAGGGTAATTCAGTCTATCTTCTCATTCAGGAACTATTAAATTCCTTAGTTCACAGTCGATTGCGACACTTTTAAGCGATCATACTGTATGAAGTTCATCCTTCTTAAAGTAAGATTTAATGAAAACGTTTAGTTAGAGACAAAGGATCCTAATGTAAATATCTATCAGTTCAGTTAAAAATGCCTTAAACCTTTTAAAAGTTTATCTTTTGACTTTGGCTTCCGCGAATGAACTAATTTTCGACTTGTCTGTTATGCATCTTAATAAGTACAGTAAAAATGACATAAAATCTAACATTTATACATATTACTACCTAATTCTTATTATACTTAATATATTATACATTGTTTAACGTTGTATTACCGTATAATAACAGAGGATACTCTTTAATTGAACGCGTTCCTCTGTAGAAGTGGCAATTTAGATATTAATAAGTTTGCTTTTATCTCATAGAGTTATGAACTTTGGGATTACATAGGACCTCAAATTTTTCCAACTTAGATAATTTTCCTTCATTGCTCGCATTGATCTGCTTGAATTTAGGAAGGTAGTTTAGAATTATACTTCAAAATAAACAATCGAATCTGGAGTTCCTTGACAATTTAATTTTTTGCCAATCCATCCATGAAAGCTGTTGATGTGTGTGAATGACACGGAAGTTGAGTACTACCACTAACTTGTTGCTTTCATATTCAGTTATATCTACAACTAAGTCGTCAAAAAAATATGGTATGCCCGCCTTGGTCTTACACATCATAAGCTTTAGGTCTGGGAATTTTATACATTTACAAATGAACTTATATATATATATATATATATATATATATATATGTTGTGTGTGCTCACTTTCTTTCCAGGTTACGCGTTTACCTTTACGCACTGTCAGACCATTTCTATTTCGAGATTTGGTTTTGCAAGATCATGTACCGAAATTAGACCCGAATGCACCTGATATTATTAAACAAGTTGAATCAATATGTGATAAACTTATTGAATCAGAGATAGGCAAAGCTGTAGGCATTTCTGCTGAAGCTTTATCAAATGAACTGAAATCTAATGATAGTAATTCATCTGAGAGTAAAAAGTGTGAATCTAATGAAAGCATCAAGGTGGCGTCAACTCAACGATTACTTCCTCCAGCAGAACCTCTTATCAGACTTCGTGTTGATTTAAGCGGTGGATTTGAATCATTCAGTGCACTTAGATTTGGTCAGAAATTTGTTGGCCGTGTGGCAAATCCTAAAGTGAGTAGTTGTTCAGTTGTTTTCTTAATTTTCTCCCCATATATTGTGTGATTATTTACCGGTCAATACACTATTTATCATTATTATTTTTGTGATGAGTCAGGCATGCAATAACTAATGTAGGAAATTACAGAACAAGAATAGATGAGATAGATAGACATACCAATGAATGTGTCAGTGCTGGAGTGTATTAGTTCATTTTATGCGACTTCTCAACCCCACAGTAAGAACAAACTAGTAAGAGCAGAGTGATATGAAGAGAGAGAAAATACAATTCAGCGAGGAAAATTTTCTTTGTCAACGAAGTTATATTTACTAAACACGTATGACAGTCTATTATTGAGTACAACTATTTAGCTGGTGTTCCTCAAGATGCTGTTCTTTTTCCTTTTCTGTTTTCTTTTTTCTTACATGACTTGCCCCATTCTGACGTAGCCACTTTTGTCAAGTATGCTGATGGCCTCTCTGTTTCTATGCCTGTCAACTCTCAGTCAGATTGTTCCAAATTAAATAACTTTCTGTGGGAAATTAGTCAGTGGTCCTCTTCAAACGGTCTCAAGCTGAATCCGTCTAAATGTCAGGTGGTCTGTTTCACTTTCAGACGAAAACGTGACCTACAACAAATAGCTAGCTCACATGGCCCCACTATCATTGACGGCATAGAGGTCAAAATTACATCTAATGTCAAGTACCTTGGACTGAGTATTTCATCCGATCCTTCCTGGTCCTCCCACACCTTGCTAGTTACTAGAAAGATGTTTCGTTTAACGTTCTACGTTAGGAAATTTAGACAGTCTGGTATATAGCAGTCTTTGCTTTCTCAGTTTGTCAATTCTTATATTCTACCTATCCCTCTTTACTGCTCCCCATTAATCTTTCCTGGACTACTTAAGAAAGACTTTGCTTTGCTGAGAGGGGCAGGCACCAAAAGCTGTTAGGGCGAGTGGGATATCGTTAAACCAATTGGTCAACACTATTGTAGATAGACATATAATGTAATGTAAGAAACTAGCGAATACAATATTGTCAGACCCCGAGCGTCCTCTCTATACGCAGCTGTCTCCTTGCATTTAATATGGTAGAACTAGAAGCAGCTATAGGCGGCTATATGCTAGGACTACCAAGTACAAAAACTCCACAATACCATATCTGGCACAGCTGTTATGTGATGAGAAATCCGTTAGGTGTGACACGATCAACTTACTGCGGCACTCTAACAAATAGTTCCCATTAGTTTTTGTTTTCCTTTCTTCGTTACTATTACACTGTTGTTCACATCTTCTATTACACACTAATTTTATATTTCATATCCTGTGGTGCATTTTTTAGAATGTAAACGCAACACTGTTCTTTTTTATTTCTTTTTATTTATCTTTTTTTTTGGTTGTCGCTTTTTGTTTTCAAAATCTTATAAAATTTATGAGGTAATTAGATGCAATATATTGTAATGCACGCTGAAAATTCCATACCTGTACCACAAATACTGTTTGCAATAAAGCTGTTATTATCATTCAGAAAGGAATTTTTAGAGAAGGAAACAGGTAATCAGCAGCATTCAGCATAAGGCACAAAATCAAAACCTTTAGCAGGAATGTGAAGTCGTTTCTTCCAAATGTCTCAGATACTTGATTAGTTACGGAAAGCATTTCTGGCTGGTCGAAGACTTTTATCAACAGCTGTTTTCTCCCTATACTGAAGATCAGATGGTTAGAAATAATGAGCAACAAGGAATTCTACCAGCAAACTTACCTAACACCTAACAAAAATGCAGAAGGAAGTGAGAATGGATGAGAACGTTGAGTTGAGCGCCTGAGGGTGGTGTGGAGGAATCGAAAACTTATAGGCAATTGTGAAGTCAATTAGAGAAGAGTACACAGAGCAGGGTGAGATGGTGACATGCTGCTAAAGCCCTATGTTCCACTAGAAACCTGGGAAAGGTCTAATAATCAAATATTGTCTTGTTTATTGTCAGTTAACTAGGTGTCCTTAGAAAACTTGTTTTTTTCTTCTGTTTTCGAATATCTGATAGGATTTAGTTGTTTTTAATCGAAATCGTGAAAAATTGGCAGCTGCACAAGCGAATCGTGCCTTGAAATCTGGCTTACAAAATAGTACAATCAGTGATGATGCTAGTGAAGTGGAAGTTGAAAATAAAAAAGTTGGTTTGGACTCTGCTGAAGTTGAAGAGCTTATACGTCAATATTTGCTTCAAATGGCTCAGACTAAAGGACAAGAACCTTCAGAAGAGTTAACTTGTGGACTAAGCTTATTCACTACGCATGAACTTGAACGTGGACTTCGACGGTATGTAGATCGGGGTCTTTCTGATGCTATAAATCACACTTCTTCATCTGTTTTAAACAAGACACTGCGTCATCTTAGAGTGCGCAAAGCCCCAGAAGAACGTATTGTAGCTGATATCTTGTCATACTGCTGTTCTAGAAGTGTGAAGGCTGCACAGAATCAAGATAGTGACAATGAAGAAAATGAAGGTTAGTTTTAATATATGTGTAAAACTTGGGCACTGTGGTAGTAAGTAATTCCATATTAGTTTGTTTACTAAGTAGCTTTTGATAACTTGAGATCTTTTGTATACGTCGTGATCTGTACACTTTTCTATTATAATAGTTGAATTTTATTCTTCATGACCGGTGATTTCTTTTATCACTTGAATCTCTACTAATGATATTATCGATGGGAAATCCAAATGTCTGTGGAAGGTCTGGTGTACTACTACCAAATAATTGCGAAAAACGTGATGCTTAAGGCGATGGGATGCTAGAAAGCTTCTAATGCTTTGCTACAGTTACCTTAGTAGTATAAAATACGGAAGTAAATTCTCACGTAAAGGAGGTAATCCAGTTGATGAAGTTATAAAGCTGTATTAGAAAGCCTGAAGTATCTATATTCATGTGAAGCTGTTACTTAGATGTGGTTTAGGACACTTATAAGAAATATCCACCCATTCTTTATCCGAAAACGCTACGTTGACTTAATTGTATATACATTGAAAGATCAAAATCTAACACCAATATATTAAGACCCCTTAATTTTAAAATAAACATTTGGATACTGTGGTAGTGTACACTTTCAAATTGGTAAGCCTATTCGATATGACATGGACTTCATGGTTTAAATCAACAGATAAATCGAGATTCAAGGTTTCAAACTAATTGATTTGGCTTAGTTTATAAATTTATTTGGAATGCATCCACACTTTATTTGCGATTAAATCATTTACATTCGTTCTGTGTAATATGAGCTGTTGCAAAACGGGGGTATTGAGTCCTATGTTCATTGAGTCAGTTGTCAATGATAAACCCAAAAAAATAACTTTTCTAACCATTAATGTAGTTTACTTTTCGAGTACTCCTTAAAAGAGTCATTTTTGTTTATATAGTAGTTAAAAACGTAATCAGTTGGAGACTGGTGTATCTTCCCTTTTAGTTGAGTGCAGTTTCTGAGTGACATTTTAATAAAATGCTTTTTTCATGCAGTATTAATATTTCACTTGTAAAGAGTAGATTAAAATCGTTATGATTGCTGGGTGGTTAATGCATTAGACTCAAAATCCAATGGAGTCCCTCTGCGTAAGTTCGAATCCTGCTAGCGATGAGATTTTGTACGTCAGTGTTTCAGTAGTAAAATACTTGTGGTCTGGGGTTCGACTCCCAGCTGATGCACTCCTAAACCTCGCTTGGCCGGTAATAAGACCAGTAAAAGGGAGAAGACTAGGCGTGAGGCCACTCCGTAAACAGAATACCATTGCTACCGGGAATTCAGAGCTCCAACTCAGAGCTGTGTTCCACTCGGAACATGAAGGAATGACAATAGGAGTAAGAAACATCCTAGGAAACCTCACTTAATAAATGAATGTAAAGATTTGCATTTGGATCAGATGTTTTCACCGCACGACTTCCTATTCACTAATAATCTCCTTAGACGTTTTCATTGATTGCATTTTCGTCAACGCATCAAACGACGAACATTTTGCTAATTTTAAGTTATAATTATTCTTTTTTCCTTTAGTTCCTAAAGGAACATAGGGCTTCACCATCACGTTTCCATTGCGTTCGGTTCTCCACCACGTTTGCCCGCATGCTTTCATCTCCTCTTTACATGACCTCCTCCATGTCACCCTAGCACTAAAGACCAACTTGCTGCTACCCATTTAGGTTCCACTCGAGCGATAGCCTGGCGTGAGATATTACTTGATGGTTTTCTCAGATTATGGCCAATCCACCTGCTTTTATTCCTGCTGCATATTTGTTGCATAATCGGTTCCTGGTTAGTTCGCTTCCAGAGATCTGTGCTGTTGGTCTCCACACAAACTTGAAAGCAATGAAAGCACGCCTTGCTTTCCTGATCCTTGCTTTGATATCCCCGTCAGTTCTGCCTGTAGTTGAAACAATCCTTCCCAGGTAGATAAAGGAGGTTGTTTCTTTCAGGTTCCTCCCATTTATGCTGATTGTTGTCTGTTGTTGTTACTGTTACTGTTGACCAAGAATCTTCATCACCTGCCTCTATTTCCCCTATGTTCTCCTGAAGTCCTATATTCGATGCTTCTTCTTCCAACTTGTCGCTTTTTATTTGCATATTTTCTGGTTTGTGGGAAATGAGACATATATCATCGGCGAAATCGAGATCCTCCGAGTTTGTTGTGTGTCCATTTTATGCCTGTCTCCTCGTTACCCTCTGTCTGTCGCATTATCCAGTCTACCGCAATCAGAAAAATCATCTGATATAGTAGGCAGCCAGCTTGTCTTACTCCTGTCTTCACTTCGAAGGATTCCGTGAGTTTCCCGTTGTGAATTACTTGGCATGCAGCATTATAGTACAAATGTTGGATGAGGTTTATAATTGTTGGCAGCACCCCTTAGTAGCGCAGTATTTTCCAAATCACCTCTCGATCGACGCCATCGATGGCCTTTTCAAAGTCGATGAAGTTGAGATAGAGAGGTGACTGCTATTCCGAGCTCTGTTCAATGATGATCTGTAGCATTGCGATTTGATCAGTGCACAACTTGTTTCTCCTGAGTCCAGCCTGTTCCAGTCGAAGTTTTTCATCCAGGGTGTGTTTGATTCTCTCCAGGATGATGCGGTTTAGTATTTTACTTGGTATGGACAGGAGCATAATGTCGTGCCAGTTCTTGCATCGACTTAAGTCACCTTTCTTTGGTAGTTTGAATAAATAGCCTTTCTTACAATCCGCAGGTACCCTCTTTCCACACCCTCTTCAGTAATGGCGTCATCAAGTCCGCTGTTGTCTCTGGGGCCATTTTCAATGCTTCTGTGGGAATTCCGTCTGGTCCTGCTGCTTTTTGAGTTTCCAGCACTTAGGCTTGTTTAAATGAATACTTTCATCACTGCTTAACTTTACACTTGATGTGCAACGCTAGCCAGTATTTACAAAATGGAAACGAGTTTTAGCATTCCGATTACAGTCTGTGTGCCATGGGTTCAAACCTTACTGTACTTTGTGCTGAGCAATCGAATGGTACAATAATCCTTCACAAATTAAGTGTAGCTTATCGCATATCAGATAAACATGCACTGCATGGATGTGTTGTATTAGTACTTAGGAATAATAATGAATTTTCACGTCTGTCATCCAGGACTTTTACATAATGACTAGTGTCATATGTTCAAGGCTTTAACTCAGCGATCGAAAGCTTAGTACAAGCGTTATCAGTTCACAGCTGCAGGCTCCGAGGAGGATTATTACACGTTGATTTGAGAATTCTAGTATTTTTTAAACTACCTTTTTGAATGGTTTATTTGATGACATACTTGAACTAAACTTTAATGAAATATTATTTTCAAATTGTATTCTAGATAATTATAGTCCTGTTAAATCGCCCAATGATCCGAAAAAGCAAGTAAAATCAAATACAAAACCAGCTGACCGTCAAGAATTAGAATGGAGTCTTGAAGAAGATGAAGATGAACAGGTTAGTGATATGCTTCATGTCTCCATATGGTATAAAGCAGTGCTTACAGCAATGCATTATAACATGTCCATACTATCTTAGAGATTTAGCAGTGGGTTCGAGTTGTTGAGACTTCTTTTCAGTTCTTATGGTTTTCATTTTTTATTATCACTCAATTTCGTGTATAGTGTCTCTGAACTTAAGTCATCTCAACCTATGGGTTCCTGATCTAAATACTCCCTTGCCTGCTTCGACCTGTGCAACTGAGTAGTAACATTAGCTCTCACACGGTAGGTTTTACTCATAGTCTGATGCAAGGAAGATCGATTCCGAGTAAGTGAATTGTGAAAAGTCAGTCTCTAGTTTTAATCACTCGGCATAAACAAGTTCTAGACCTTAGCTATCAAAGATTTCCAGGAGTTTCTGTTGCTATTGATGAGTGTTAGCAACAAGTATGAGGTATCAAAAAAGTGGTTTACTTACCATACTTAACGAGTACTTTGTGTTATCTGTTGTGTTTCTGTTATGTTGCTGCTGCTGAGTGGTTAATAGTAGTTTTCCCCGTCGCCAAATTATTGCTATGTACTGGTCGAGAATTTAATAGTCCTGACGCAAGAAGGCGGAAATCAGAAGACCACTAGGTTTGCGATGATACTTCTATTTTCCAAACACAAGGAGAAGCAATAAGTGGTATCACACCAAAGAGTAGTGTCACACAAGATTGTGACAGCGAAATATATATGAATGTCCAGACAAGTGTGTGAACAAATCAATAGACAGTCTTAACATGAATGGCTAATTATAATGGAGTGTCGATCCATATATACATAGCAAAATGTAGCAGACATGTCAACAACCACACATATAATATGGATATATGTCACCAAGCAACGGACTGTCAACAAACACTCATATTATATATAATATAAGGGGAATATACATTGTTAAAGGAGACAGGTTCATCAAAGTGAAATGGTCACAGACTAAGCGAGCAAACAGAAAGAGAGATCACCATACACATATATATATATATATATATATATATATATATATATATATATATATATATGGATACATATCAGTTTCACAACGCATAATGTTACTTCAAGTGATACTTCATTGCATCTTCATTGTGGACTATTAACACCAGCTATAATCGTTGAGCCATCAAACGAGGATAAATCAATCAATAATACTTCTTATTTTATTGAATCCAAAGTTTGTGAATCCATTCACATCCACTATATTTCATGAACTGTTACTGATACTCTATACTCTATAGCTGATACCACTATCATTAAACAATGTTTTTGATGAATGCATTCTATGAGTTTATGTATAATTAGTTGGTCAGATCAGAAGACCTTGGCCCGGCTGTTTGCTTCTTATTTTAAATTGTATTTTCTATGTCTGTTGTACGATAGACAAAGAGACTGGCATTTTCAATCTTGAAACCCAATGTATGAGTCACCTATACAATTATTACAGCTTAAGCAAACATTCCTATCTAACTTTCCGATTTTTCGTGACTTATTCACTTTGTTATAGACTGGCAAAAAAAGGAATGTGGTTATTGTTCATAGTATCGATTAAAACTGGATCTGAATTTCGTTATCCTGAGTGCTTTTTTTAATGTTAATCTGTGTTCAGTAAGACAAGTGTTGTGTCCAATGGTAGAATACTCACCAACTACGCACACACATGGTGTGGAGTTCGATTGTCGGCCGTTCTACTCATAAACCTCGCTTAGCCGGGTAGCAAGACCAGTTAGGTGTTAGGCTAGCAATCCCACCCCCGTAGAAAAGAACCTTAAGGTCCTACGTACCACTTGGGACTCAAAAGAATAAAAAACGACGATTATCAGACCTAAATATTCCTATTAAGATTATTTCAGAACATTATTTAAGCAAACAAACGTTTTTGGCAAATTCTCATCAGGCTTTACAATTACATAATAAAATATTAGTCATAGACATTTAAAACAATGTGGATCAATCGAGTGAAATATAATCGAAGACTATAAGTTGAATGATATTAATAATAATAACATTAATAATAATAATAATGGATGGAGGATTTCATCATGAGCTGACATCAGTTAGAGAACCACTGGAAAACTTGGGAGTACTGGACAGCCAGCTATTTCGTCCTAGTTTGGGACTCTTCATCGGTGCGCACCCACCGGGGCACTGGATCGGGTCCCAGTGGCTGAATGGTCTACGCGCTCGCCTTGTAACCAGAAGGTCCTGGGTTCGAACCCCCGATGGGTGCGTACTGATGTCAGCTGATGATGAAATCCTCCTCCCTACAAAACCAATACTTGAAAATAATAATCATAATAATGGTAATAATAACCGGGATAACTATTTTAAGTCGGGGTTGATGGCAATGGACGGGAGATGGATTGAACAAACTCTTTCTGTAGATACATGAAAAATCCTTTTATTTTGCATCAGAATAAAATCAATACTGATGTCCTTCTTAAAACGTTTAATATGGCCCATCTACAAACTTAGTACATATACGAAACAGAAAAACACAATACTTCACCATTTCTTGATCCATAGCTAACAAAAAGGCAAGATGGAAGTATTAAGCGGAGTATTTTCCGGAGACAATCATGAGTTGGCCAATACACCCATTTTCAAGTATTATATGAGAACAGATATCCAGAAAAATTTGTTGAAGCCTCCCTGATGAGAACAGATGTCGAGGAATTCTTGCAAACTGAGCAGAAGAAACGTATATATACTTAGAACTTCACTGTTTGAAGGAGACGAATGACAGTGAGTTTGTCGATCAAAAAGAATAAGTGTTAAGTGTTGTGAATGTCAATAATAACGGTGATTATAATGATAGCAAAACAGTCGGCATCCAACGCTAACTCGAATGGGATTTAGATATTGACCTTCCAGTTTTAGCTGAGATTGAAAAGGCTGATTGTAATCTAAAACGAGGCGAAGCAGCGAGATCTAATGGAAAGATTACAAAAATACAAGCAGTTAATGTAGATGGGAATAAGAATAATGAAGGTAGAATGATAATGTTGACACTTCAGTAAATAAATTATGTCAAAACCTTATTAAATTAAAGGTTACGTAATACTAAAGATGAAGTCGATGGGTAATGAGAGTTGGGAAATTTTGATTAAATTTACCTAGGTCAAAGGTTGAACAAACTTCTTTTGTATTCAGGGTTCAGGATTGTTGTCTTGAATTCCCATAGCTTCACCTGTGTGTTAAAGGTGGGTTGAAATTCCGTTAGAGGGGTTCTCTGGAATGTGATAGATGTCCTTGAAGCCACTTCTTCTGTCCATCTGGTGACTGCTGTCAATCAAATGAGACAAAATAAAGTTTCTTATGTATTCTCTTTGGTCTTTTCCTAACCATGAAGGAAGATGCTCAGTCACGTATTTTTGTTAAGCTGTCTCGTTATTCACCATAGATAACCTTCTTTGCATGAACAGCTAAACTTGTAAATTCACATAGAAGTGGCACAACTAGACAGCCCATCTTTCTCTTGAACAATCATAATTGGTCTACTGGAAAGTGACAAACAGGGTGGCAGCGGTGCATATCCGTCTGATGAATTCAGGTAATCTTTGATGTAGGACTTCACTAGCCACATCCCTATTGGATTACAGCTTGAGGAACAACTTTTTTTTTTCAACCGTGGTCGGTTTCTGTTTGTTATACTCAGTATTTACATATCTCCTTACAAATACGCTGGGATAACTCATTTGGATCAGCCTATCTTCGACGTCTCCTAATTCATTCTCTTAGGAATCATCAATACAGATCCTTCTTGATCTATTTGTGAGGCATCTGAGCAAACTGATTTCGTGTCATATGGGTACAAAACTGTGGGAATGTGTATACTGGTCTACAGACATAGTTTTTCTACAGATATCTCTCTTGAGTGAACCGTCCTGTCTTCTGTTCAATCGGATATCAAGAAAATAAGAATCCATTTTTATCTATTACTTGCTTCAATGGACTATTTTCATGCTTAGTAAGGGGAAATTTAAGATTTATTTATTACAGGGGATAAACAATAATCTGTAGATTAAGCGATATTGTGTTATGTAATAACACGTGTTCTTGTATTTTCATTATAATCAGGAATTTTCTTCATCCATATATTTTGTTTGCTCTTGTCTTAAAATTTTTAAATATTCATATGTTTCTACTAACTGTCATACCTCATTTATAAACCTTAAATTTTAGCAACAAATACATAGTAATCTAACAGCGGAAACAGTTCAAGTGAATAAAACTCGTAGCAAAGGTGTTTCTCAAAAAAGTCATCCAATCATCAATAAAAAGTCGACAGTCAAAAATCAAATGATACTGGATGGAGATGATGATTTTCGCATAGATTCAGACGATGATGAATCCACAGCACTAGCAGATATGGTTGAAGAGGTATCTTCAGATGTGGAAACCAATTCGTCGCCAATAAGTAACCATGCAAGCAACAAGCAAATATCATCTATGACAAATATTTGTTTAATTCATCAAATGATACAGTTCAGAAAACTAGTCGACGAGGACGTGGGCGTGGACGTGGACAAGGTGTCGGCGGTAGCACTAGTCGTGGTGATACTACTGTAAATAGTTCATCTAGAGGTAGAGGAGGAGGTAGTCGTAGAGGTGGTTTAAAGTCAGGATTAAGAGAGAAAGACGATACAGAGGATAATGATGATTGTCTTAATTTTGATTTTCGTCGTAAACGTCGAAAAATCGAATAAAAACAATTTCTTTTTCTTATAAATATTATTCATTCTTCCTACTTCTTTTGTAAATTGATGTAATCTCTTTCCAGTATGAAACTTATTTGCATTAAGAGGATAAAACTAAGATATACTTTAATTTATCAGAGTAACTTTGTGTTCTCATTTCTCATTTGAACACAGGCTATTGATCTGTTTAGTTATAAGTATTTTTGAGATTCAATGGGGTATTTGCTTTCCTTCGTAGCCCTGAGGTGCGTATGTTGATCGTTATTGATTAAAGAAGAACTGAGTGTTTTATTGGATTCAGTCTTTCGAGTGACTTCAAAAATCTGATCCTCCTTATCTGCTTCACACAAACAGGATATTAGGATGCTAACTTAATGACTGTCTCTGTCAGTCAACCTTTAAAATTTCACTTTATAAAGTATGCATTCCATTGGAAATTTAGAATATTTAGATCACAATGTCCAACCAGCTTGACATCTCACATTGTATAATTAGCTTCACCCTATAATTTACAAGTCTACCCAAGTAGGTGAGCCGAATTCGGGTATTTTGAAGTGATTCTTTTTATTCAACAGTCAACTTCTGCGGAATGTTGACATTGGCTATCCAATCATAACTGAGGTTGTACAAACTGATTCTAATCTGAAACGAGGCAAATCATTGGGACCTGATGGAACAACTCCATAGATGTTTAAGGACAGTGGTGATGAACTGTTATCTGCGTTTACTAGGCTGTTAGATAATATCCCATGACACTGGTGTAAATCATTGATTATGTCACTTTATGAAGAGGGAGACTAATCTTCTTATAATAATCATAGGGGAATAAACTTGACTAACATAGCATATAGATTTATTAATCGTGTGTAGACTAAGTAGTACTTGGGAAAACCAGGCAGGCTTTACACCAAGAAGAGAGTGTATGGATCATATTTTCACAATTCAACAGATTTGATTCTAGAATACAGACATACTTACAGGCGTCCAATACCTGCCAGATTTGTTGACCTGAAGGCGGCATTGCGTTCCGTCGACCGAGACGTTGTGGCAGTGTTTGATCGCGAATATGCATGATGCTACTTGAGACACTCTAATCGAACTGATGAAGCCATGTTAGGACTTATCGTTTGAAGTGGTGACTACCAGTGCTGTTTGTCAAGGATATTCACTGTCACCGTTTTAATTTAATTTCATCATAGATGTACTAATGAATGTAGTCATTAGCGACTTAGGAATTGATAAGTATGAGCTGAAGATGTCACCCAGTAGGGTAATGAAAGCTTCGCAAATTAATCATCCAGCTCAGAGAACACAACCATATCAGAATTAATAGGTTACCGGCAAACAGTCTTTTCCTCTCTAACTATACGGATAATAATATCCTGCTAAGCTGAACATCTCGAGCAGAAATCTTCAAATGTTTGGTGTACGATTCAATCATGTGAAATATAAGATGATGCTGCACCGGCTTCCAATTTAAAGATAGGGAGTGAACTGGTTGAGTATGTTAACTACTGCACTTATTTGAGAAGTTGCGTCAGCCCTAATGGACTGACTGACGACGAATGCTCAGCATAGATGCAAAAATACTCGTTTGGCAGTTTATGTGATCTCTGACACAGACATGATAGCCGGGCATCTGTCAAAAACCGTGTTTATTTTTCACTATCATAGAAGCTCTAGTAATTGTTTCCATCAAACCCGTATTCCATCTGCAAGATAAAATGATTCAAATTATGAACTCACTGCTTATTGAATCATAGTATTGATAATAAGTTCATTCCGAACATGTTCTTCTTATTTTGTGTTTCTCGTCACTTCACACCTGGTAACACTTATCACTTTGTTAAATTTCACACTCTCCTTACTTTCCAAACCTTTGAATTATGCATAACCACTTTTCCTGACCCATTTTTATAAGTCCTGTAGTCCGAGATCTGTCAAATAAAATATCCCATGAAGTAATTATTCCTGTTTCATGCAGTTACGTTCCACAGATCTACTAAGAGGGTGAAATTGTGGAATATTTTCGTCCACTTTCACGTTTATTTGATAATCCCTATGAACCGACGCTCATCAAACTTCTATGTACTGTATTTTGTCTCTATGGTAATGAGCATTTCGTACTACGTATCGATCGGATGCTTCTCCCATATCTGCATATAATCTAAATAAAGATGTATTGCGTAGTAAATATGCCTATAAAAGCAATAAGGTTATTAGTAAAACTGGTGCTGTACATTATTTAATTTCTGATACTGTTCATGTACACAGTGTGAAGTTTATTCTGTAAGTATGCAATAAATGTTTCACGGGAAGTGATACGGCTTGCATTTTTACAACAGGTGATATTTTTTTTTTACAAAAGCTTCGCACCAAAATATGAGTCAGTCAACGTCTCATCTGAATTATCTCATAATTACACAGGTGAATCTGAATATCTTCCCAAACACATGAATCCGACGATGATAACTGCATGGTCGTATCAGTGCTTTCTGAATTTAATTCATTTCCTTAGCTCATTGCCATACACACAAAGAAGCGTGCTGGTTGATTTCCACATGAAGAAGCTTTGTAATTTTATCAAATTTTCAAGAGTGATGATATTTAACCTTCAAAACAGCTTTCAGAAGGGGTTCATTAAACTACGCATATAATTCTGAATACGTGGGGAGTATCAACAAGATTTTTATTCACCTATATCATAGCTGGTGTTCTTGTTATACGTATTCTATCCACATCATGACCATAAAAGGAGAGGCTAAACAAGTTTCGTATGTAGCATTTTTTTTGATAGCTAAAACTTTAGCAATACAAAAGATGCGGAAACGAATTTAGAAAGGACATTTTTCACTGCATAAATAACAGTGGAGAGGTTGGTGTTTAGGGTTGACAAAATGTTCAGTCATTACACTCCTCATAGGCCTATTTCTACACCTATATAGTTGCTGAAGATAATGTTTTCGAATGGAACGTAAGTTGAATGACTTAAAAGTCTAGTTCCACAGAAGCAGATGAATTGGTATACGCGCAAGGAAGCGCTCAAATTCGATAGCTCCTTAACGTTACTAAAAAGCAGTGGTCAATTGAGTAACACTTCAGAAGTTTGGCTAGCTGTTTTAAATCCGTGAGCCAGAATGCACATCTTTTTCACTTCCTTAAGTGGCTGAAACCTTCGTGATCGAAAATACATATCTAGTTTGGGTAGTAGATCAAAGCGTCATCCCAAAGCCTCTGAGGTACGTCCTGTTTGTTGTACCCAAAAGGTTGCCACACGTAAACGACATTAAGGTTGACCGAGTGGCTGATATCCTGTAAACATAGCTTCTTGCCCATAATTATTCTCTACATCAGTGTATTACATCACCTCTTCTCAGTTGGTTATTAAAAACCATCACTTCTACAATATCTGTCTTCAGGCCATGAACAAAAGCCACTACCATTAGAATCTCTTTGTCGCTGAGAATTTCTGTATTTACAGAGACAATGTGCGCATTCATTGTTTTTTTCGTAAGAATATTCCTTTATAAGTTATTGCCTACCTTTGACTATGGTTGACGTTTCTTCACATTATACCTTGGTTTTACATCTGTAACGAGGGGTGGTAAACACAACCACTAGTTCAAATAAAGTATGATTATATTTCAACGGTTTACATACAATGATAAGTTTTTGGTAATATTTCGATCAAAATTACTGCCCGTGGTCTCACCAACTGTTGAAATTGTTTTGTTTTTTAACAACCATTGGTTGTTATGAGTATTTCACCCACATTATAAAAGCATTTATCTTACTGTGGAACAACATTTACTACTTCTAAACTATAAGTAGCAAAATGAGCATATGACAAATAATTATCCTTATCAGTTCGTTTATAGATTTCACTAAGCTAAAACAACTTCCGTTTTTATATTCATACAGTTATAATTTGACTATGTATTAAAAGCCCATTTTTAAAGCAAATTTAAATATCATAGTAGAAGAAATGGATCTTCGTCGCTGAAGAAGACCATTAAATTGACTATAGAGTTCCTATCCGAAAAACCAAAAATCAGACGGTAACAACATATAACACGTATTCATACTCGCTCCACTTTAAACTATTGAACCAAGTATGTAAATGGGCTACTGACACGAGTGTGGAATCATCGGAAACACCTTGATAAATGATAACAACTAATACTAGTTTGATAGTCTGTAAGTCAGAATTTAAGTATTCATTTCCTGTACGTTAACCAGATAACCAAACAATCAGATTTCACCACACTGACTGACTCTCAATAATCGGTCCAATGCTGCAGCATGTAATTAGTCCATTGATACTGTTTTCGTATGACTATTTTACTTATATGTTCGTAATTACGGTAAATTTCACTCGCTCATTCGGAAATACATGTTTCTAATATTATTATTTGTCGGTGGTTCACTGGTAAAATGCTGAAGCACTGCTAAACTCGCTTAGCTGGTAGTGAACCCAGTAAAAAAATGGAAGGTTGAGCGTGAGGTTAGCAACCGTACTCCATAAAAACAATTGCTACTGAAACTCCAAAGCTCTAAGCATTGAAGTCCTATGCTCCATTCAGAATGCAAAGGAATAAAAATTATTAATATGAGAGGGAAGTCTACGAGAAAATTATCAACCTGCATTATCGCTAACGTTATTCGTGTGAATATTCAGCAAACATAACGCATACATGGATTAGAAGTGTTAAGCTAACATGAATACGACACAGTTTCTAACTACATGTAAATGATGCTCTTTATCTGGTAAGTTTCAAATGATTTCCCTTACTGGTTACCCATACTACACTCATTGAACATCACGCGAAGTTCCTCACTATGGTACCACCCATTAATGTCATAATTTACATCTGTGATTCGCTTTTTCACCTTTAAACACAAATTATGGATCCTACTCGAATATTATTTTACTTTCTACACTTGAATTTTTGACCTACAAAGCTTTCGTGTCACTTGAGGTTGTTCATTAACACCCTATTCGCTTGCGT